CCTGCCTCTCACTAACATCCTGCTCTGAATACTGAACCTGACCTTCTCCACAGCATTTTGAATTCTAGCCTCTTTAATTTATGGTCATCACAGATACCGTTGTTCTAAATGTTTTCTGAGCCCCTTCCTTTGCAGGTCTAGAGGCAAAAGGAGAGAGAAACCCCTTGTTATTCTTAGCAGCAATCTTATCTTTGGGAGGCAGGCCACAGGGAAACACTGAAGAGAGGAGAAGGTTCCCATCCCCTGGTAGGAGAAAATGCAGCAAAGGATTAAAGCAACTAAGAAAACTCATTTCTTCAGCATGTGAGGTTGAAATAAACAGTCAAAGAAGCATCCCACCTTCCAGAGCTTCCGAAGAATAAATCATGCAAACTGTGAGTTATCCATCCTCTATCATTATTCTCTGCCTGTCAGATCCTTGTAGGGGGTGTCAGTTCCATCCTTCTTGTGTTACTGTAGTTGCCATGCCCTCTTCTCAGTAGCTCCTATCAGTTATAATGAAACACTTGGGCTCACAAAATACTGGGGGGCTCACAAAATACTGGGAACTAAAGGGACAACAACAAAATTGTTTAAACTTTCCCCCCACACCAATAAACAGAATAAAAGGAAAACCAAAAACAAAGAGTGAGAGAATTTTACAGTCTGTAGATGATTTCTGCTTCTGGGATTGCATATGTCATTAAGATTTATAAGTCAGTTCAGAGCTTAAATAGCAGATCTTTTCTCATTATTTATCTTCCTAGCTAAGTCACAAGATTACTTTTTAAGGAAATATGTGTAACACATCCAATGAAAATAAACCAGGTCCTAAGATCAGCCATTCTAACCAGCTCGTAAAGAAGAGGAGTTTCGTATGAAATGAAATGACAGGTTGAAATGTGCTCGCTAGGGTCTGATCCTGAAAATTTCAAGTAACAGAACTGAGTTATACTCTTATCTGGTTGTCCTCTGACTATAGTTATGAACATTTGAAGCATTTCTTGTATGAACAATCAACTGGCTAGGAGGTTTCAGCTTCTGCACCCCATCACAAGACCTGGGGTTTTGAGCTTTAATTAAAAGAGTACTTTAACCAAAGTAGTACTCTGAATAACATCACTGCTGTTGCATCCCTTTGTGTGTAAATCTGTGGCCACTTTTTTGCAGTGGCTACTGTTTGCAGTGTTTTTGCAGGCTGTTTTGCAACTTGCTGTTTAAAGGCTATTTGCACATGCAAATGTGGTGATGGAAACGCAAACTAAACAAAATATCCCAATTCTGAACTTTGTTCCTGTGTTCTTTACACCAGAAACACCTGCTGATTCAGAACGACAGAATATTCTTTCCATCCTCTAACACAACTCGAAACACATAAATTGTACACATTTATAACCTCCACAACTTTCATATATATTGGTTAGTTTCTCTTGTCAGTCTAATGGGGCTGAACAGGGATCTCACATATTCCCAAGCCAGCTGGGTCTGGGTCTGATCTAGGAAGTGTTTCTAACTCTTGGACCACAGGATGGTTTGTATGTGAAACTCTCTGGCTGCAATTCCCTGAGTGCAGGCCTTGGCAATTCTGCTCCAGGCCTTACAAGCACTGATGAGACTATTCATGTCCTAACAACCTACTCAAAACCGCACACCTTGAGGGTGTTAGATTCATTTTAGAATCAAAAATAATTAAGAGAAAAGGTAACAGATTTGCACAGCGACCTCACTCTCAAACTACACATGTATTACAGCTCAAGTAAAGCACCAAAAGCCTTCTTAATCACCTGCACTATCAACATTTTCTTGAAGTCTACTGTATCTCCTTGCCTCTGCAGATATTGAAGCATGGAGAGAAAGAAACCTTGACCTTTGTCCTCAAATCTCAGTTTCTTATTTCAGCCGTCCTGCTTCTTGGCATGTTCAGGCAACTGAAGTCCAAACCCCATTGCAGATGAATTGGAACAACCAGCTCCCCTCTGGAGCAAAACTCTTGCTCTGAGAAGTACCACTGCTGACCCCAGGTGGAGACTTCTGTTTCATAAATAACTATAGACCTGTCAGTCTGACTTGGTGCCAGGGAATGTCATGGAGCAGATCATCTTGAGTGCCTTCATATGGCACCTATAGGACAACCGGGTGACCAGAACTAGTCAGCATGGGTTGATGAAATGCAGGCCCTGCTTCACTAACCTGATCTCCTTCTCTGACAAGGCTATGTGCTTAGTGGATGAGGGAAAGGCTATGGATGTTGTCTATTGACCTGTTTCAGCTGGAAGAGTTAGTTTTCCTAGAGGCTGGTACAGTGCTGTGTTTTGGTTTTAGTTTAAGGATAATATGGATCTGTTGGAGCAAATCCAGAGGAGGGCCACAAAGATAATCAGAGAGATGAAGCACCTCTTCTGTGAAGACAGGCTGACAGAGTTGGGTTTGTTCAGTGTGGAGAAGAGGAGGTTCTGGGGAGACCTTAGAGCAGATTCCATTACTTAAAGGGGCCTACAAGAAATCTTGAGAGGGACTTTTTACAAGGGCATGCACTGACAGGACAAGGGGAAATGGCTTTAAACTGAAAGAGGGGAAATTTAGAATAGTTATTAGGAAGAAATTCTTTTAGCATTTTAGGATTCCTTCCCTCTTTGGTTTCCCAAAAGAAATGTACTGTACGAATGTTCAGCTGAGCTCCAGTCCAGTATTTTTCTGTATTAGACAAAAATGTTGTTTTCATTACAAATCTTTAATCCTTTAAAAAATAAATAATAAAAAAAATTATCCCTGCAACTGAAACTGTTTCTCATAAAGTCCACATTGCATAAACAGTTGCCCAAGGTCCTGGGAACAACAGCCAGTCCGCACATGGACTACATCACAAAAGCAACAGCTCACAGTGGTCAGCCCAGGGCAGAACAAGGACATGCTCACTTTAAGGGACAGATGGTAACTATTTAGCTAAACATTCTTCCACTAAGGCTGTTTTAACGCCCAGATCATTTTTATCAGCTTCTTATCACATTTGGGAGCCCAGCATGCTTCTGATGGAGGCTGTGTAAGTGCTTCCCAGAGAGTGCTGTAGTTTAAAGGTTCAAGGCAACATATCAGCATGAAGAGGAGGTGTGTGGATATGGAGGGGGGGGAATAAAAACAACTCCATGCTATGTTTGCTGATTTTGAAATGTTCTTGGATGAATTTCCAGGTAGAATATAGATACAAGTATGTGGGAGGCCTCCTTCATCCATAGTCAGTTCTGCTGTATGTTCAGGGCCAGACTGTGAGCCTTTAACTCTGTGTCTGTGCACGGTTTTGTGGGTTAACATGAATGAGGTCTGCCAGTGCTCTGAACAACTCAGAGATGTCTCACTTGCATCTGTAGCATGGTATTAAGCCCAAGCTATCCTGGCTCACATCTGACTGCAAAATTCAGTGTAGACATGCAACTTAGCCTGGCATTCACTCCTAGGAACGGTTCCCATCTGAGATACTTCTGTTGTGAGGACAAGGTGTTACTCATCCTCACTACGCATATCACAGGGTGCCTTACTGTTAGACTGTCAGGCAGAGCTGTCATCTGAAACCTCCAGTGCAGTGAGGCGATACAGCCCTGTGTCAGTCCTCTTGAACTGTGAAAGTACCACATGCGATACTAGTAGCATGACATCTGCACAGTGCTGCATGCACCAAAGCACCTCGATGTAAAGAACGGGAGGGTGTTCAGAGAGAGCAGGGAGAACGGGAGGCTGTTCAGAGAGAGAAGAGAGGAAAGTGTAGGACACCTATGAAACGCAAAGAAAAGTATTTCTCTCTCTTTTTCTTTCTTCACCGGGGAACTGGCTCACACAGTACTATAATAACAAGCACTGGCAGGCTGCCCAGCATCACTGTACTCTGGTTGTAAGTGAACTATGAGGCTAAAACAATCTTCTGGGAAAAGTTCACACCAAATGTATTGTATGTTATGTTTTCCCCTCACTGGCTTTTTTTTTCTTCTCCAAACCAATCTATTATACTCCTGCCCTGTTGCATTACGGATTTCTTTAAGATCCCCAGGAGCTGCCCTTTTAAAAAACAAATATTGAGTAATCAAACAGATCTGTTTTTTAAAGTAACGGAGATAGGTAAACTAGTAATTCTCCTCTCAAAATAAAACCAGATCATGGCTCATTAAATAGTGAGGTTTTCTGTCCTTGGAAATCTGTTTGCCTGTTTTTTTTCCTCAGATAAAATCAAGAAGTTAAGTGAGAGAACGAAATGCATTATTAAAACACTGTCATTATCTGTACGATGTACATCTTCCATGGTGGAAGCCAAGCAGAGCAGACTTTACAATAGTAATTCAGTGAAAGGAAAAATGTCCCAAAAAGCATGTTCTGTATTTGACCTGAAACTTTCAAAACAAGTCTGATGTGGTTTTTACCTGATAGCCCTGGTCACCTCAAAGTTGCCAACTGTAAATCTCACTGTAAATTTAATAGGTACATAAAGATTTTATTAGAAGTACATGAAACTCCAGCACTTGAAGAGTCACTTGTTCTTTGCTGAAGGCAATAATAAGATGCTTTCATTTATTTTTTACTATTTCTCAATGTGGCTTTTACAGAGTCGCAAAAAGACAAATTTTCTAAGTTCACAAAAACGATGAAACTATGAACACATTGGACATAATTTATCTGACAAATCGGACCACAGACAGTCAGTTGGAAACTGGGTAACAAAAGTAGTCCCATCTATACATAACCAGCCCAAATATGTATTCCCCATTGCCCTGCAAATACAGACACTGTGAATTTATAATTCACTGTTGTTTTTACTAATGTATTCTATTGTATTAGTCCTTGGAGGCCTTTGCTGAGCTCCATATTGCATTGTGTGAAGGGCTGTACCTATTCTATGCATAGGAAGTTTCTGCCTCAAAAGGCTTAGGAGGTTAACTTAAGGTTGTTTTGCAAATGTGATGGCACTGTACAGAAAGCAAACTCACAGCAGACATGAAATAGTTAATTCAGTTTTAATTTGCAGGGGTATTGAGTACCTGTAATTCCTGGAGAGTTCAGTAGGAGTTTTGGATGTTCTGCACTTTTGAAAGCCAGACTGAAGTTCCTTGCTATGCTTCTGACAAAAGGTCCTTAGAAATTAGAGACAGAAAAGACTTATTAGGTTATCAAGCAAAATTTGTCCCAGAAGAAACCCCATTGAAGTCAATGGAATTTCACTGGGGATGGATTTACCATAGAAAGATTGCTCCCTCTAGTATATTTAGAAGTGCTTTTTCCTATGCAGTTTAAATTAGTTCTACATTAGTCAAGGTACTGCACCATTCTTCCAGTTGGCTCCCCTTGCAGAGAACTGTCTCTAGCTATCCTTTTTCGACATTTCCCCTCCCCCATCCCTTGTTGCCGCCTTCTCACCCTCATTATTTTATGTCTAATTTGGCTAATGGATTTCTCAAGACAGAGCAGCCTTTCATGTTTGAGAAGGACCTACCCTGTACTGAGGTTAAAAGAAAAAACAAAACCCACAAAACAAAACAAGATCAGGAACAGAGAACAAATTCTTCTACCGAGAAAAGCAAAGTTGTATATGAAGCTTTAAGTTTTTTATCACTCCACCAATCCATATATAGCTAGACCACAGTTTTTCACTGCATATTCTGCATTAAAATTGACATGGGTGCTTTAGTATTGACATTCTAGTTTCATCACTGACTAGATTTTTAGAGCATTGTTAGAGCAAGTGGCTTCACTTTTCAAACATCTGTTTCACCCCTATCGCAATAGCCATAGTCATGCACATGTAAAGAATTTCTCAAGCTGCTTCACAGAAATCAGGAAAGCATTTTAAGTTCTGTAGTGGAAAAGCACAGTAACATAAGGCCATCAGTACTCTCATTTTATTTTTATTTTTTTATTTTTTTATTATTTCTAACACAAACATTCATCTTTTCTGTGATGAAAATCCTAACAAGATTATAGGGAATTTCTAGTCTCTGTATGCTTTCAGTCATATAATTACAACTAAAACAACTGTCTTGAGGACAACTACAGGAACTGTGGGTTCAGTGCTGCCTTCTGCCAAAGGAAAAATGTCCACAATTAAGAAACAAACTCTAAAACCACATTGGACAAGTTACTAAATCCCATCTACGTAAAGACGTGTGTGTTCACTTCTGAGTCACTGTATCATTTGACCATGCAAGAAGCAAGACAGTTTGCTTGAAGAATGTCAGGAAGACTAGAACATAATTAAAAAATAGCAATGTTTTCATTTTTCTTAATACTCTTCTAAAACAGGCACACACTCAGTTTAAAATTAACCACAGAGCTTAATTAAGTTTCTTCTGATCATGCCGTAAGGGTTCCATGTTGTCTTCTTGTGGTCATTTCATCAGTCAGGGCTTTTCATGTAAGAATGCGCTGCATGCATGTCACAGCATGGGATCTCATCACAGACACCTGCTCTCAGCCTGTGAACACAGATTTTGAGCCCCCTCCCTGCAAAAACGGTGACAGAAGGGCATATTATTTAATTACTCATCCATGCTATACAAGACAGGGTCTACATCTCCACTTGTTTCATATGGCTTGTGCTATTTTTGGGGGGTGATCAAATAGTTGTTGAAAAAGGAGAAAGCTTCACCATAGACTTCTCATTGCTATTTGATAAAAGCAATATATGAAAATATAGTGAAGAGGAGAACAGTTTGTGCAGGAACTGAAGAAAATCTAGGTAGGGTAAATATAGCTATAAAATTATTTGTGATTTCTTTAGCTTTCATTGTGAAGATAGGTGAGCTAGTCTGTAATGTGTAACTTCACTCTCCTTGATTACAAGACCAGGAATCCAGCAATAATTAACTGACAGCCACCTCTAATGTACTGAAGAAGGTGAAACCAACTTAAAACCTTCATCTAAGTTAGATCTGAAGTAGTGGTTATGTTTTCCTCCAGTGCTAGAAGAGGGGAAAATACAAGAAGATGATGAAAGTATAAACTTTCAGCTCTGCTTAAAAATGCATTTATTAAATTACTTCTGTCAAAGTCATTCACGAATTCCTACAAAATCCTATTGTGGACCAAAGCAAAGCACAGCTAAATGAAACTTTATATATTGTATCCGGTAAGCAATCACCGTACTTGCATTCTCACTGCCCTCAGCAGCACCTGCATTCTTTGATCACAGTCCTTTTATGTGTTACACTGTATACAAAAGACCAAGCCAGCAATTAGCCATTCTAGCACTGAGTCCTGAAATCTCTGCAAATGCTTCAGCCCCTTAATGAATTCCTAAATAGAAGGAAGTTGCAAACAAAGTTCAGCTTGTGTATTTTATGCCAGGTTCCCACAGCACTGTAGGTTCTTAGAGCTTAATTAATGACACTTGCATCCTGTGTGCCTTCCAGAGTTTTAGTGGAAATTTTACTGGTCACTTCAATCTCTGACATCTTTTGGACCAATTGTCCTCACAATGTTGGGCAATGTCCCTGGTCTTTGGAAGGGAAAGACAGGCTTTGCTGCTAATCATGACTCATCTGCATCAATGGGGTGGATAAAAATGGGGGGAACAAAACATGCATTATTTAAAGTAAACTACTCATCAGAAATCCTATGCATTGTATAGGAACCAAAATGGGTGATGAAAATGAAAACCACAGCCTAATATACCAGCATTTGGGAACTCTGCCAATGCCCCTAATTAAAATTTTGTACTAATCTCTTCAGGGAATCCAAGAAATTCTTTCAGAAAATGGAACATTCTTCTGTGCACATCCAACTACTTATTCTGTAAGAGGGAATATAAAGGAGATTGTATGTGATCAGACAGAGGTCATTGGAGTGGAAAGGACAGTGTGAAAGCTACAGGAAATGAGCCATCTATGAATGAAAATACTGGAATTCCTTCTTGAACCCTGACTCACATAATGTATGATTTTTCTGGTCCTGGTCTAAGGATCATTACATCAGTGGAAAGACTTCATTAATTTTAGTGGGGTTTTAATCAGTTCCAAAACAGGAGAATGAAAAATAGGTATTTAAAATTACAAGGTATGCCAACATGTTCTTTCCCTTCTTTTCGTTTTGTCTTACCATTGTTAGAAAGCTTGGTGAGAGTGGGTTGAGATGAGTGAGAAGGGTAGGGGCTGGACTACAGAGGGTCTAAGACAGCACCTCTGACACCAGCTTATAGGTAATAAACAACACATTCAGTGCTGTTAGAGATGCAATTAGAGATGAAAGGAAGGAAAGAGTTGGTAATTGGCTGGTAACTGGAGAGGGAAGGGATGCTGATAGAGAAGTATTTCTAAGAAGGGAAAGACCAAAACTGCTTTATTGTTAAAAAAGAGCCACAGTGAAATTTTAAGAAGAAAAATAGGGTCATACACAGGTGTGAAGGAGAGGTGAATAATGTAGCTAGAGCAAGTGTACAAGGCTAGGTTAGAATCTCATTCATCTGGACAAAAAAAAAGAGACAAGGTAGGTAGGAGGCATAAGGAAAGCCACAGAGAGCAGGGAAACTGCATCATACTTTATCAGTTTTCTCTTTGAAGAAAACAGCAGGGTCCTATAAAGAAAAATACATGGAGGCAGTAGGAGAGAACTACCAAAGATGAATCTAGGCTAGCTCTGCAAGGAGTAAATCTTCTGCATAGATATGCATCTGAGGCTCATAAGTCAAGCAACCCTATCCTGAGCTCGAGTTATTCAAATCTAAGGCTTTTTTTTTGGCCAATGTGGAACAACGGGGTTTAATCATTGATTGTCTTCCGCTTTGCATAGACCATGGCGCTCATGCAGACAGGCTGAACGTACCAAAAGGGAAATGGAGGCACAAGAATATATGGCATCCACCTTTTGCATGTCTGTTTCTTACTACATGCAAATCAACACAGTGGGGACTCGGTTCCCTCAGCTAATTCTCCCAGGTGAGTGAGATCTGGAGTGAACCCAGACAGGACTTTAGCTTGATCCACTTGTCATTTGTAGAGTTTCCTTTCTTCTTCTGGACTTAAAAGCAACCAAAACTTCCTCTCTGCTACCTTTTTCTAAAAGATCTTTCTATGACTAAGGCAATTATGTGTTAATATTACATGTAATTCTCTGATGTCAGACAAGATAACAGAGATAATCCTCATAAAAGATTTATGACATTGTACATTACAGCTTCCATTTGTATGTTGTATGCATTGCCTTCAAGAGGCCTTGAGAGATGCTTTAAGATCTCTCTATTCAGATTATGAGATATGCGCATTCAGCACTTCCTTATTATAGGTCTAGAAGTACCAACAACCCAACTAGGTGATTTGCTGTTCAGATCCTGCTGTTCTCTGAATCCACACAAAGGTGAAATGCTATTGTCGGTCAGTGGGATCCTTAGGATATAACAAGGTTTAAACCATTTTCCTTGTATTTCTTCATGTGTCATTTCACTATAAAGTGATCACTTAGCAGACAGAAATATGCATTCTAGAAAGAAGTCATCTTTGTTTCAACCACAGTTTGTCTATGCCAGAAAGGCACTTGCTAAATGTGCTTTTCTTTTTTTTCGGTATCTAAACTTCTGGTTTGACACATCCATCTTAACACTGTGTTTTACTTGTTGCTCAGGGACCTACCTAGATCTTACATACTTTTGTGGATCTGCCTGAAGATGCCCTCACTGGGCATCTCTTAGGAAAAAGCTGAATTGTTACAGCTGAACTGCTATTCTAGAACTCAGTTTCTCCATGCAAGTGAATATGGTGTTAATACTTCCAGGAGGTGATAATCACTAAGAAGATATTTAGTTGTGTTTCCTGCTGTGCAACGCACATTCTTCTGATGAGGGAACTGAATAATTTTGGGAAACATAGAGGACCTATGCTCAGCAACTTCACAGCGTGACTGCTCTGATACAAGGACATCTCTGCTTCAAAGCCTAAAAAACAATATAGCTGATCTCTGTGATACTGGATGGTGTGAAATGCTGTTCACACAACAGTATATCCTGCTTAGCATATGTGGGATATTCCTAGAAGGAACATGGCTGATAATAAATTCGGGTACCATTAACACAGATTTCATGTACAATGCTCTTTTGCCTAATTATTAGCGCATGTTTCTTGAATCTTGCAGTGATAATTTTTTAATT